TCTAGAAATAATAATCATAATGATGATAATAATGCATTCCCCGACCGATAGCTGCTACCTTGACGTGGTGGTCGGGCTTGCATATCACAATGACCCAACGAGCTATGCTGGTGGAACGCTTGTTCCCTCGAGGTCCTACCATACCAGAAAGGTCTGTTGGGTAGTGGTTAGACGAAAAGCAGTTACCGTTATAGTGTAAATTGCTACACTATGATGGGGGTCTGAGGGCGAAGTCGTACTGCTGCTAGCTGGATGGGGTGTGACAGCAGTAAGGTGTTTCCCTTGGATGACCAGCAGTGCCAAGCTGATGCTGCCTTCTCAGTGGAAGGGGGGGTTAGAAAAGGTCGGCCCCAAAAATAACACACTCCACCACGCCCCACGGTCTGCCGGGCCGGCGGTGTTGGTTCACTTGTCGTTTCCTTTCGCTCATCCGGCCCCAAAAATACAAAAATTCAAAATAATCATACTCAAAAGGCTGGGTGTGACAGGCCTCAAGCAGATGTCCGATGGGCTCTGCGGTCACACAAATCTCTTTCAGGTACCTTAAGAAGAAATAGCCTTCCACGGTGTGGGCAGCCGGGAAGTGTCAACCGCCCTCACAACTCTGTCAGCACCCAAGTTTCTTCTGACTGCTATCCTCCTCCTCCATCATTACCTTCTAATCTTCCTTCACGTCTCTTAATTAATGATGCTGCATCATCTTCAATTTCTCCTACCTCTGCAGCCTTCGACAACGATCTGAGTCCACAGAACAGCGTCCCTGGTCTCCTTAAACCACGCTCCAAATTACATATTGGAGCCTTCAATGTCCGCACCCTCCGTCAAATTGGCCAACAGGCTTCGTTGGCAAAGACTCTAGCAACTCGAGGCATGGATGTGTGCTGTGTTTGTGAGACACGCATACAGGACCCAAGTGTGGTTATTCACCTGACCTCTCCTGACCAATCTGGTGAATCTGCAAAATTCACCCTTCGAGTTTCTGGAGATTCGATAGCTAGCTCTCGTGGTCTTGCAGGTGTAGGTATAGCATTAAGCACCAGGGCAGAAAACTCACTACTAGACTGGATCCCAGTTGATAGTCGCCTCTGCGCTATGAGGCTGAACGGCACAGTGAGAACTAAAAGGAATAGTGAGACTCGCCGTTGTCTCTTTGTAATCTCTGCTTACGCACCCACTGACTGTAGTTCGGATGAAGTGAAGGACGAGTTCTACCATAAACTGTCTAACCTCCTCTCGAAAGCCAAACGTTCGGACGTAGTGGTTGTTGCAGGTGACCTCAACGCACAGGTGGGTAGACTGAGTGAGGCAGAAAGGCACTTAGGTGGCACTTTCGGAATCCCAGCTGAACGTACAGATAACGGTGATCGCCTATTACAACTATGCTCAGATAACCGCCTATTTTTAGCCAGCACAAATTTCAGACATAAAGAAAGGCACTGTCTGACCTGGCGTCCACCGAGCTCGACTCAGCGATGGACACAGATAGACCACATTGCTATTAGTCATCGCTGGAGAGGATCGGTGGAAGACTGCCGCTCCTTCTGGAGTACGTGTTTGGACAGCGATCATGCGTTGGTCCGAGCACGTATATGCCTGCGTCTCAATGGACGTAGAAAAAATTTGGCAACAAAACCACTACGAGTTCTGCTGGACAACGAAAACACCAAAGCCGTGTTCAGTGAGAAGTTGGCTAGGCAGTTATCGGAACAAAAGACTGTCACTCATCCAGAAGAAGCTTGGTGCCATCTTCAGTCTACTGTAAAAGCAGCACTGGAGACTGTAGCCGACTCCAAGATAATGGCTAAAAAGAGCCAGTGGATATCAGCAGCTTCTTCCAAACTAATGGATGCACGTGAATGCATCCCTGCAGGCTCTGAGTACAATGAAGAGCGAGCGCAACTTAAAAATAAACTGACGAAAAGTCTGCGCAACGATCGTGAACAGTGGTGGGCAGCAAAGGCTAAAGAGATGGAAAAGGCAGCGGCGATCGGTAACAGTAGACAGTTATTTAGACTTATTAAGGAGACTGGGGGGAAATGGTCAACAACAGTTAGTGAGGTTATAGCGGAGAAGGACGGATCGGCGATTCACTCGCAGGGAAGGCGACTGGGACGATGGGCAGAACACTTTGAGGAACAGTTTAACTGGCCTCCAGCCACCATTGCGCTGCCCGCTATCCAGTCGGACCCTGAATGGGACATAGAGACAGGTCCCCCAACACTAGAAGAAGTTGAGAAAGCGGTAGGTAGCCTGAAACGGGGAAGGGCAGCAGGACCAGACGGACTACCTGCTGAGGTATACAAGAATGGTGGTAGAGTTCTCTTAGTCAGGCTAACGGAAGTGTTAGCCAGTATATGGGAATCAAATACGATCCCCTCCGACTGGTCTAAGTCACTGATCATCCCAGTCTTCAAGAAAGGCGAGAAGTCCTCTTGTGATAACCACAGAGGAATCAGCCTGACAAACATAGTGTCTAAGATCCTAAGTTCTATAATTCTCCGACGCCTGAGTGGAGCTCGGGAACAGCAAGCCCGAGAAAACCAGGCAGGCTTTAGACCTGGCCGTGGATGTATCGACCAAATATTCACACTGCGCCAGGTCCTGGAACATAGGCATGCTTACAGACGCCCGACAATAGCTGTATTTCTCGACCTGAAGGCGGCATTTGACTCCGTTGATCGAGAAGTCTTATGGCAGTGTCTGTCACTGAAAGGCGTGCCTAGTAAGTACATCACCTTATTGAAAGCTCTCTACTCGAACACTTGTGGGCATGTTAGAGCCTATGGTGAGTTGTCCAGGGAGCTATACTCATCAAGTGGTGTCCGTCAAGGATGCCCACTATCCCCATTCTTATTTAATTTTATCATAGATATTCTTATGGAGGTTTCCCTCTCGTCACCTAATTACAAAGACGTTGACCGGATCACAGGTGAATTTTCCTTAGATCTAGAATATGCAGATGACATAGTCCTGTTAGGTGAAGACGCTGACAAGATGCAGAGTCTTCTGAACACTTTGAGTGGGAATTTGAGAATGTTTGGGATGCGATTTTCACCACCCAAATGCAAATTTTTGCTCCAGGACTGGTCTTCAGCGGTACCGCGGTTAACAATAGAGAGTGAAGTGGTTGAGTGTGTTGACCACTTCACTTACCTGGGAAGTAGGATCAACCCGGTGGGTTAGTTGCCGATGAGATTTCTGCACGGATACAAAAGGCTCGATTGGCTTTTGCCAATTTGCGCCACCTATGGCGCCGCCGTGATATTCGTTTGTCTATTAAGGGTCGCGTGTACTGCACAGCAGTCCGCTCTGTTCTACTGTATGGCTGTGAAACATGGCCATTGAAAGTGGAAGACATGAGAAGGTTACAGGTATTTGACCACCGTTGCCTTCGTAGTATAGGACGTATTCCGTGGTGTCACCATGTGAGTAATGCAGAAGTTAGGTGTAGAGTTTTAGGGAGAAGAGGTAAGTCAGTCGACGAGGTTGTGAACCTTCATCGACTGAGATGGTTGGGACACGTACTACGTATGCCTAGTCACCGATTGCCTCGTCACACAATGTTGGCTGAGGTGGGTTCAGGCTGGAAAAAGGCCCGAGGTGGCCAGACTAAAACATGGCACCAATGTATGAAGTCTCTGACTGTTGGTTTAAGCCATGTAGGACGATGCAGACTAGGTGGTTGGGGTCCACGGGACAAGAGGAACCAGTGGTTGGAGACCCTAGGTGATATGGCTCAGAACCGAAGTCAGTGGCGCAGATGTATACACACATTATCCTCATCTTAACAACGCTATACCGAATCTCACTATTTTGTCACTCCTCTTTCCTTTCTTCTCGTACTTTATATTTCTTTTGACTGCATTCACTTATCTTCATCCTTCACCTCACTACCTTTTTACTTGATGTGCTGATATGAGGTGTGGCAACTCGGACCGTTACGCAGTAATGCCTGGTCCTATGTTGATAATGATGATGATGATGATAATAATGCATTCTGGTCACACAAAGCAGAAACAGTTTCTGTACACTGAAGCTGATTTTCGCGAGTTAAGGGTGGCATCACTCAATCGTTAGATAGCCCATAGTCATCCGCAGTGCACATAACATCAAAGAAGGATGCTAATAACTGGTCTACATGGGGTAACCTTATTCTGGATACTTGTTTTAAACAGATTGCAAATATAAGTCAACTGAATTTTCCGATCCAACCAAGAATAAACTTGGGTCCATGTTGATAGTTCCATTAATAGATAACTTTGTGTTGTTGACAAGCATATATGGGTGGGTCGTAATGCTTTTTAGGTCTATACCCACGGTGGATATCAGTGTACAGGTCTATGTAAACCTAGGTTCAGGTAGACATACCACTTCTAGAGGTTGCAATTCACTTTCCACTAACTGCTTGGAAATTAAAGAATGAATCGTGAAGACGTTCCATATTATATTGTTTGTTTGATATAGCACACAGTGATACAGTATAGTTTACTTGATGACGTATCGAGCAGAATTTATTACTCATATTTATATCGAAGTGATCATACAACTTTCAAATTCACTTATAAAATCCAACAGTTCATTCCTGAATCAGAAGACAAGGACAAGCTTATGATTGTAAAAAAGAAACTTTATTCTACAAAAGACATTATTTACATACAGTTTGTCTCAGAATATAAAGCCTCAAGGTCAGAGGTTGGACACTTATTTCGATTGGTCAGCTGTAGGATGAAATTGTCTAATAAGATCTTTTTACCCGTACAGTAACATGAAACAAGGTTGAAATCTAAAACTTCTACCTTAGCGACTGATGACTTGGAATACTGATTTCGATTTAGGCTGTTTCTTATCAATGACCACTCTTCTTCATGTATTGACCTTTATGTTCATAGAGTTATCTTTTTAAGTGACTGGTAAAACTTTCATATAACCAGATGATAATTTTTCTTCCCCCCCCCCCCCCACTAAGTTTTGTATATTACCTGTTCATTTATTCTTTCCAGTTCTTATACTTCAAGTGTATTGCAATTATGTGGTAGGTTTATTTTGCTTGAATTCTTACATACACTGAATTCATTCAATAAATCCTCCAGTTCAATACATTCGTTTACACCGAGTCAAATTGAGAAATTACGTGAAACCTTACTCATTTGGTATGATAAGTGGAAACGTGACCTACCCTGGCGTCAAATGGTAAAATATTTATAAATTTTTTTTGGTATGTCTATTCAAGTTGTATTCAATAGGTCTCAAATCCAGATCCAAATATTCGTGGTTACGCTGGTATGTTAAGCTTCTTTTTATAAATATCTTTGTGAAATATTCTTTTTATCCATTTATAATAGTTTGGGTATCGGAAGTAATGCTTCAACAGACTCAAGTAAAAACTGTTATCGATTATTATCACCGATGGATGAAGGTTTGTTCAATAATCTGACCTGTTCATGAACATAGAAATGGCCAAATGTTGGTGAATTGGCACTCGCCTCTTTAGATGTATGTATCAGATAAGAATCACCTTACCAGATTTCTTTCGATTGTAGGATATTAATTCTGTTTGGTCTGGACTGGGTTACTATTCTAGGGCTCGTCTTTTACATGAAGGAGCAAAGAAGGTATAATTGAAATTGTACTTTCAATGAATACTCACCTGGTAGATTGTTAATGAGTATGCTGGTAACTTGCCTCAATCAGCTGAGTCATTGAAGTCTACACTACCTGGTGTTGGACGATACACAGCTGGAGCTATTTCAAGCATTGCGTTTAATCAAGTATGTTTCCTATTTATATTTACTTTCTTAGGACTTGTCAGTTGGATTTACCTGTGTTCCAATGAATCTTCATGCCTCTGATGAGACTAAAGTTTAGTAGCTAAGATGCAAACCAAAGCATTGCATACTAGAAACTCCGACCTGTTAAGCTATGCGCATAACCGATAGATCATAAATGTGACCCCTCTCTCTATCGGAGTTGGCGCAGCTAACAGTTCATACTGAATTACAGTGTAGCTCAGTACTAGCCTACAATGTTACAACTTCTCTTCTTACAACAACAACAATCCAACCTAGATGGATGTTGGTTATATGGAGGCAACCGGCAGAAATCCCTGTTCGACTAGAGTTTCGTTTTTGGCACTCATCAGCAAGGCGCATCTTCAACCTTGGGGGGGGGAGGGGAGGAAGTTGTATCTTCTCTGATATTTAAACTTGGGTCACCCAGTGTTACAGTCAGAGACATTACCAGTGAGCTATTCTGGTCGCGGTTGACCTCTTTTAGGACTAGATTAGATATACTGATTGGCCACTGAGGGGCAACCAATTTCATGTTGTCCAGTCCTGAGTGATTGATGCTCAGGTACACCTTGTTGATGAGTGTCAACAAGCAGGAAACCAAGGTCGAACAGGACTTCCTGGTCAGTCGCCTCCAACCAGCTAACATCTCTCCAAATAAATCGCGATGATGAGCCTTCTGGCCTGGTGACCATATTGTAAAATGATCGATCGGACTCGGTCAGGAGTCAGGACTAGACACAATGAAATTGGTTCCCCTCCAGTCACAAATCAATGTGGCAATGTAGCCTAATATTACTCACTATTGAGTTACTTAATCGATGTGTTTATTGTGCATCAGTTGAATCAGCTCAGTTTGCTACACTTCATAGTAGTACACAAAGAACATGTGGATAGGAAATGACTGATGTCAGAGTAACCTAAGTTGTCTGAGAGACTAAAAATCTGAAGATGAAGGTTATTGTGAATATTGAGGCTTTAGAAGATGTCAAGGAGTGAAGACATCTGCGCTACTGTGACCGATTTTCAGTCCCCAACCACTGATTTCTATCATCTCGAGGGCCCCAGCTAAGCATTTGCATTTCCTCCACACTACTCAGACTAGCAGTAAAAGACTTCGTCGGCTGGTGCCGGGTCTTGATGTGGCCATCTTTAACCCTCTTCCAGCCTAATACAACTTCCCTTACCATGGCTCGCCGAGGTAGATGCTAGCTTAGGATGCGCAGTACACATATCCAAGCCATCAATCGACTCACTAGTCTTGCTTAATACTCTTCGCCTGACCCCAACATTACTCACACGGTGATTCCAGCAAACGTGAACAATGCTAAGAAGACATATGTAGTCACAACCCAGTGATCGCTTCGCGTCTTTTACTTTCAACGGTCATGTATCACACCCATACAAAAGGACGTAGCAAACTGCAGCGCAGGATACTAATATACTGGGAGTGGTTATATTTTCTTAAATTTGACAGGTGCGAAACGCACCCCTGCCAAATTTACTCAGATTCCTGCTCAGCGTGTTCAGAAAACCCTGGATTTTATCAGTATCTTCACCTAACACGACAATATCGTCTGCATATTCCAAGTGTAGATCAACCAATGCCTGTGATGTCAGATGTACCTAAGGTTATGTCCATTCATTAATACGTCTATAACGAAGTTTAATAGAAACGGTGGTAGTGGGTATCCGTGGTGGGCATCACTGGTTGTAGTCAGTTCATTTCAGATGAAAACTCTCCATAAGCTCTTACACGACAAAAAAAGTCCAAGTAACTTACTTGGGTGTACAAATTTTACACATTGACAAAGTGCTATCATCCTAGAGTTTGCATAAATCTTTTTTTTGTTAGTAGTACTTTGGTTATTGTTATCACTTCTATGTTTCCAGCAGACTGAACAGTCAGGTAGTTTCGTTAATATGCATGACGTATAGCTCAGCTCACTGCTTTCTATCAAGTTGTTGACTTGTAGTACGTTACAGTGTGGCAACTACCAACATGTTTAATTCCACATTATCTCACCAACCCCTTCTTAGAAGTTATGTCGTACTGTCGAATTGAGATGGCATTTGACAAAGTCTTCATATGCCTACTGTATATCACTCTATTGAAAGCCCTGGGTTCGAACACACGTGGACGTGTTCGAGTCCGTGGTAAGCTCTGTACATCGGATGGTGTCTGTCAAGGACGCCCACTCTCTTTCCATTCTTATTCAACTCTATCACTGATGTATTTACGGATGTGTCTCTCTCTCGTCTGTTTTCACAGGGATTGATCTAATCACAGGATAATTCTTGGTAGGTCTAGGATACGCACATGACAGCTCTGTTAGGTGAAGACACTGACAAGATGCAGAGTGTTCTGGATATCTTGGAGTGGGTTTCTTCCCATCTAAATGCAGATCGATGCTTAAGGACTGCTCTTCACTGGTGCCCTGTCTAACTGCGAGGAGTAAAGGGGTTGAGCGCGTTCATCACCTAACTTACTTGCTCAGTCGAATCAACCCCGACTGGTCAGTGAACAACAGAATCTCTGCGCAGGTACAGAAGGCTCTCTTGGCCGTCAGCAACTTACATTACTTATGGCGCTATCAGGATATCTGATTCTTGAGTGTACTATGCTGCAGTCCTCTTTGTTCTACATTATTGCTGTGAAGCATGCCCATTAAAAGCTGGAAGATTTGAGAAGGTTTCAGGTTCTCGACCACCACTGCCTTCTCAGCTTGGGTCTTATGTAGTGGTTAGCTGAAGAGTGTGTACACAATAATTAGCTCAGGTGACTGGAATGTGTGCTAGGGATACCTAGTCACCGTCTGCCTCTTCACCTATTGTTAGTTAAAGCAGGTGTAAACCGGATATTGGTTAAAAGTTTGTGGCTTGGTTTTAGTCGTGTCGAGAAATGTAGACTTTCTGATTGGGATCTGCGTGACATTGGAAATCGGTGATTGGAGAATAAGTGTTACGGTTCAAAATTAATCGCAATCGCACAGATGTATCCACACAATTTTAATCTTAGTCGTCATACCACATTTCACTGTTGTTTCGTTCGTTCTTGTTCTCTTCTCACTACTTTCGATTACTTACTTACTTTATTTCTTTCATCTCTATGCAACTTGGAGGATTCCGCAATAATGTCAGGTCCTATGTGTGGAACACGTCCCGGCTTCCTGAGCTGACTAATTTGTGCAGACTCGTCAGTTAATCTGATACAGTGGTCGCATGAAATACAGTTTTTGCTGGGAAGGTAACGGTGGTCGAACACCTGAAAGCTTCTCATGTCCACCCCTTTTAATGTTTCACAGTCATACAGTAGAACAGAGCAAACCCGTACGGAGTACTTTCGAATTCTTTCAGGTAGTTGGATATCACGCCTGTGTGATGGATAGTGTCAGGTAGCAAAACCCAGTTCAGCCTTTTTTGTTCATCCCGGAATTTTCTTGATCAGCGGCCCACTGGGTTTGATCCGACTGCGAAAGTAAGTCAAGTGGTCAGCGCGGTCAACTACTTCACTCTCCGCTGCTAGACACAGGAACAACACAGACTAGTCCCAAAAATTCCGAAATCGCCAGTCAAGATGTTTAAAGGACTCTGCATCCTCTCAGCATCATCTAACAGGACTATGTCATCTGTGTAATCCAAGTTAGCCAACTTGTCACTTAACATTCACACTACCTGCATGATGATTCTGGGACACAAAAGTGATATTTTAGAAGCAAAGTTAGTCATGTATTTATGCTGTCGTAGCACACATCTGTCTATTGAACACCACCATCGTAGCCTTGATTGAGATTTACGCAAATCTAAATTAATGGGTGTCAAACCCTGTCTTATCATCATAACATGATAGTGTAGCTTCGTACACAGAAATCCTTTTTCTGGATTATGTTGTTCATGAACTGCAAACTCGCTGTGATAGATTACAGTTTCTGTCATTCACTTATCTCTGCATCATTTAATGTTTGTATTCTCGTTAGTCTTCACCGTTATAAATGATATCAATTGATCATATTGTTAACTGCAAGAGACCGGGTAATGATTAGATGAAAAAGCAATAATTCATTTATTATTTATTGTATTCTAGTGTACTCCTGCTTTAGACGGCAATGTGATTCGTGTTCTAACTCGTCTACGTGAGATTGGTTCACCTATACAATTACCTGTAACAATGGAATCTTTATGGAATTTAGCCACTGAATTAGTTGATCCTGATCAGCCAGGTGATTTTAATCAAGCTCTTATGGAATTAGGAGCTGTGTGTTGTACACCTAAACAGCCTAGCTGTTCTAAATGTCCACTAAATGAAGTTGGTTTGTGTGGATCCTATCAACGATTGGTATGTTAACCATTCAGCTTGGATTGTTTGTATGTTTTTATCATTCTTTCTGTGTAGACTGCTGAAAACAAAAGACTGTCAAAGAAAGTCGAACACCTTCCAACTGAGATTGAAGACTGTCATTTATGTATTGATCACAGTGTTTATCTGGAAAGGTAAGAGTCTGTTTTCATCTGTTCTTGGAACACTATCGTCCTCTTAGAATTGTTTGGACAGTATTTTTTCGTTTCTTGAAGGATGGTTCCCTGTGTATGTGATTATCTTTTTAATTGTGTGTACATGTCAGGGGGGGGGATGGATGAGCGCGAACTGAAGTAGAGTCGTGGCCATATTATGGTTTTCCAACGACCCGTCTATCGTATGCGAATAACAAATCGTATGCTGAATGAAATTCATCATATAAAATCGGCGCAATTTATGATCGTTAGTTTAGAAATTCAGGCCGATGAAAAGACGAACACATTACTAGTAGAGATGTGGTGAAGTCTCTTTGAACTACTTATTTTACAGATCGAAATGAGCCTCCTAAAATAGATAAGCTAAATCAGCTTAAGTTAAAATATGTTATGCATTAATACTGGGTGATAATTGAAGGTGAAATAAAAATTTGGACCGCAGCCGGATTCGAAGCAGCGACCATATCGGGTTTCCGGCCCAATGCTCTGCCATCTGAAAGACGAGGTTCAACCGCTGATCAGATTTTTAATCCCCTTTAATCACTAAAAGTTTTACCCGACTACCATGTGAATTTGTTATGCGTCGAAATGATAATCTATTGTATGTAGTTGTAGCTGCATCATGCTTACTGTGATTCCTTCCTGTCTGCCTTGATGAAAGATATCCAGACAGGTGGACATAAAGAGAATACTTTTCATCGGATAAAATATTTGGTGCCAACTGTTTACAGGAAATGAAACGTCTTTCACAACCGAGTTTATCAGTCCCCTCAATGGTGTACCACTTGCTTTACCAACAGTCGTCAAAATCCTACGCAATACACCATAGTCCTTTTTTCCGAGTCCACGGAAAAATAACACAGAACAATAAGTAAGCACACATATAACAAAGAAATTAGCTAGACATTAGAGGAGAGTAGCTTGAGTGATCCTAGACAATCTGAGCTTCCCTATTGAAAACGTCAGATGAAGCATTTCCCTCAACATCCATAGAATATGAACAGGGAAAATGAAAAGCGAAACATAAACCAACATGCTTCACACTTCATAAAACCTCCACTACAACACCATCAACAAAACAAGAGTCATCAAATGAGTCTTCTTCAACTCTTCAGCTGAAGTTCACTAGCCACCTGACATGTTGACAGATTGAGTATGTGTGACACCATTCTAGAAGGACTAGTAACCAATTTCCTCTCACAACTTATTAAACTGAAGAAGAGGTGACTGGCATACACATCCGACAAAGCTAATATCAGTTGAGGTAGGCAAGTCATCCACAACACTAAAGAAAAGAAAAGGAGAAAAACAGCATTTTAAAGCACACCATTTCCACCACGTAGTCAAGCGGAGCTCTTCCCTTCCATATAAACTGTATCACTTTCTCTCAGAAAAATAACAATACAGTCAGCTTGAAATCCACGATAAAATATGAATTCTCGAAAGCATATTCATTTGAAAGACATCTACGGATAGAATCAGAGTCAGAAGTGTAGTCTGAAAAGACAGATCTAACATACTCAGCAGTGAAGAAGAGTGTGCGCAAAGACAAAAGACACTTCTACGACACACTTGCAAGTGAAGCAGAACAGGCTGCTGGCAGGAGAGACAGAGACCTGACAACATCATATCAAATAACCAGGTTACTATCCGGGAAGAGATCAACGCAGACGGAACCAATAAATGATGAACGAAACCCAGTTGCCAAAGAGGAGAAACAAAGTAAGCAATGGGCTGACCACTTCAAAAAACTCCTGAATCGATCATCACCTGTACTTCATCCAGAAATACCACCTGCAGCCGCTGAACTACAAGTGAACATAAATCCTCCAACAAAAGTGGAAGTCCTGAACGCCATAAAGCTACTGAAATGTGGGAAAGCAGCAGACTAGATGGGATCCCACCAGAAGCACTGAGAGCAGATGCAGGAACAACAGCTTGCATACTCACACCAGTATTGCAGAAGGTGTGGAAGGAAGGGAAGGTAACTGCCAATTGATTGGAAGAAGGGTTACCTTGTCAAACTGCCGACGAAGGGAGACCTCAGTGTTTGCAAGAAGTGGCGAGAAATCATGCTGCTGTCCACTCAAAGCAAAATATTAGGCCGCATCATCCTGGAGAGACTAAAGGATGCGCTGGATTCAAAACTACAACCGGAACGGACTGGCTGGATTCAGGAAGTACAAGTTATGTGTGGACCAAATTACAACGCTTCGCATCATCATAGAACAGAGTATAGAATGGCAATCAACCCTCTATCTCAACTTCATCGACTTTGAGAAGGTTTTTGACAGCGTCGACCGACAAGTAATTTGGCAACTGTTGCAACAATACAGAATACCACAAACATTTATCAATCTCATTCAGCAACTATATGACGACGCCACATGTCAAGTAATTCACAATGGGAAGCTCAGTGATGCTTTTGAAGTGGAGACAGGAGTGAAAGAAGGTTGCCTACTATCACCCATGATATTCCTGATTGTGGTCGACTGGACTAGATCATGCAGCAAACAGTGAGGAGCTGTGAGAAGAGGGGGATATGCTAGGTGGATCGCTGAAAAGAACCTAGACGATTTGGATTTCGCCAGTGATGACTTGTGTCTGATGTCACACAAACTTGAAGATCTACAGGCGAAAACTGACAAGTTGACAGAAGAGGCTGGGCAGGGCAGCGAAGACGGGACTTCCTACAGATGAACGTAGAGAAGACAGAGATGATGAAGATACCGCACTAACAACTCCAGCAACAACAAGCATCAATCATCATCAACGGGAGAGTGAAACCTAAAGAAAGTAGTCTCTTTCATTTACCTAGGCAGGGCAGCACTCTTTAAATTACAGGCGGCACAGACGAGGACGTCAAAAGCAACCAGGATCAGAAAAGCAAGACAGGCGTTTATTAACCTGAAACCAGTATGAAGGTCTTCTGCACTCAGCATAAAGCGTGAACAAGATCCACGTTTTCAACACTAATCCGGTCAAGTCAGTGCTTCTGTATACTTCAGAGACTTGGCGCGTTACGAAAGGCATTTCTAACAAACTACAGAATTCCATCAACAACTGCCTACGCTGCTTACTGAAGCTCAGATGGCCAGAATAATAAGAATAAGCAACAAGGAACTCTGGCTGGCTGACGACGAACCAACCAAGAACCTATTGCTCAACAAATATGCAGAAGAAAATAGAGACGGATTGGGCATGCATTGTTTAGACCATTCGGGACATCACGCGCCAGGCCAGGCTGTCGAGTGGAATCAAAGGTGAAACGACGAGTTGGGCGTCGTAGGCGAGGGTGACATGGAGGAGATCGTGTGAGGAAGAAATGAGAGCTTGTGGGCTGTCGTGGAGCCAGGTTCAAAAGATTGCAGAGAACAGAGTGCACTGGAGACGTGCTACTGAAGTGGTATGTTCCACTAGGAACCCAAGGGACAAATAATAATAACGTACTCAGCACATTTGTCCACATTGGCAATAATTTTATGATACAAAACAACTGCAGCAAGTAAAGTACTCTTTCTGGGTTCCTCCGCCAATTAGTTTTACCACCGAAAGCCTGCTACACAAGTTCAACCATACGAAGTAACAACATCAGCATTGCTTTTGCGAGTGTTGAGGTTATTGCTATCGGTCGGAGTTTCACACTTGATCCAGAAGATATAAACTTTGGTAGCAGAACCACATTAATTCCCTACACTCTTATTTAAATATCATTCATCGCAAAAAGGTACTCATGATGAATGTTTGTGAATGGATGTCATAGAATATCAGGACATAGAATAGAATACTGGAAATACCATCTAATTGGTGGGTTTGTGAGGGTTTTAATGATTTTAGGCATTTGAGGACATCTGTTTCATTGAATTTAAGAAAACTGTCTTCTGTGATGTCTCCCCTGCTAGTGAATAGCAGAGCGATCCTTCTCTGCAATGGTCTCACTAACCGTTGTTGACCTTTTACCCTCAGTTTCCTTAATAAGTCTAAATAACTGTCTACTGTTACCAATCGCATATAAAGCGTACAGTTTCTTTGAATGGTCGGTACTCCAGTGGGTAAGGTAATAAAATTTGTTGATATCATTGTCATACCGAAAAGAAATTAAAACTCTTAGCCGCATAGACAAATTGCAACCAAGTGGCTCACTGGTAACGTGCCTGCTGTGGAACCTGAGGATTCCCATACTGGGATGAAATAGCTGCCTAGTGCTCCAAAATTTCCTACGATTCTCCAACTGATGTCAGTCCGTGATAAATACCAACTTGAAATTCAAATCTATCATTATCAGAATGTTTACAGGTTCGTCTGTATGAACGGGTTCAAGAATGCCAGGTACCTAGTAGACAGTTCAGTGCCTGACATATCGACAATGTAACGTAGAAGTATTCCAGATTTATATAGTGATTCCATAATGAAAATCCTTTTGATATTTATAAGACTGTGCAGCTTCTGAAAATAAACTTCTTGGGAAAGATTTCTTTCGTTGGATTGGCATTCAGATGTGTTGTAGATATCGAGACACCGCCTACCTCGACGAGCAATGCTAGGTGAATTGGGATTAGGTTCGAAAAAAGTTCAGGGAGATCAGATTAAAAGGTGCCACGGGTACTTGATTATTGTTAAGGTGGTGTAGACTATATGGTTGGAGTCCTCAAGACGATAGGAATCAGTGGATGACAACTCTCAGAGACTTAGCCAAAAGTTGGTCACAAAGTCGCAGATATTTCCATTCTTTGACCCCTTCGATAGCATGAATATTTTCACTAACCTTAGTTTTTAAATTCCGTTCCCTTCCATACAGCTTTGTCTAATTTTATAGGAGTCTTTCGTATCACAGACTCACTTAACAGCTGGGTAGAAAAACTTTTGGTGGATGGAATGGATATACGATCTGATCGGCTACCGGGTTTCGTATCTCAGTTGGTAGATCATCAGGCGGGTAACTTAAACATTACTTTTTCGAATCCTGTTACCTAAATTTT